CGATATAAGTCGCTAAGCAGTTTGTTAACAAACCAAACAAGGATTCATTCAGCGAAGATAAACAGAGACCTTGCCTGACGCTACAGCAAACAAAGAGTACTCGAGGAAGAATCAGAGGAGATGTTTGACTTAACTACTTTGACTACTAATTTTGTACTTTCAAAACGATTTCAAACAATTGTTGCGTTTAGTCCGTGTACGCTATGTACGCGTAATACCGTGTATAAGCGGGGTCTACATCGAATGGCGCACTTGTTGCTGCGACCTCAGTAGTGGGTCGCCATGTTGTTTTCAATACGACAGAAGTTTAAACCATACTAAGGTGGAGTGTTAGGCCGCACCATACCTCAAGCGGTTAGGCGCTGGCTTCCCATCGCGGCGGCCTGAGTTCGATCCCGGGTCTGATCAAGTGGGATTTGTGGTGGAGAAATTGGCGCTGGGGCAGGTTTTCTCCGAGTACTTCGGTTTCCCCTGCCAATCTTCATTCCACGAATTGCTCCACAATCACCCTCACCTATCATCTGGGGCTGGTACAATAAGCCAGAAGTGGCCGCAGTACAAGGGCCTTAGTCCCACCCCACTAGCAATAAAAAATAAAGGTGAAGTGTTAGATGAAGTGTCAGAAAAATCGACAACTGATTTCGAAAATTACGGTATACTGCACTTTATTGCCGGCATGTAAACGAACACGTTGAATAAATAGCAAGTTGCAGGCCTCTCTATCTGCCAGGTGGGAGAGTTCCCGTATGCGTGCTTCAACGGAAAACTGTTTCGCAACATAAATGCAATAGTAGGGAATTTCTTCAAGACACCAACACATGGGGAATATTATAGCCTTAAAAGTTATAAGCGCGTGAAATCTGTTATAGCCATTGTGAAATGCGTTGTTTTTGTTTGTCTCTCCAGTTTCCTTGCTCGTATTTATACACGTATATGTCGCATAGACACTGTGAAGGACGTATAGGAAAATTCCCGCATTTGTTCTGAAGAACACTCATATGCCTATGCTATACACCTCACTCACGTAAATTTACAGTACCATCTTCACTAATAGACTGAAAGTATTCATTGGTATATACAGGGTGATTCACGAAGTTTTACCCCGGCTTATGGTACATATTCCTGGGGTTATTTCCTGCAAAATTTCCTTATAAACTTGTGGTCGATTTTCAATAGTTACGGAGTAACAATAGATTTTCGAAACGCATCATTGTGAATGCAGCACTATGCTTCAGCGTGGGCGACCATACGTTCCAGTCAGCTATGCCAGCAAATAAGGTAGACCGGTTTGAATGTTGCGCGTAGGTAGATAGGCAGAGCGGTTCATACGCGTGCGACGCATTGTGTTGACGTGCAGGAATACATTTTTGTATATCTTATGTAAATCCAATCGTCTTCTAAAGCACTACAGTTTAAAGGAAACAGATTGATAGAAGGGTGTGATATGCAACCATTGGTATGTTTACAGAATGGGATGCTGAAAATAATGTAATTTTGTAATACATAATCGACGAAAAATGTTGCACAATGCAAAATTAAGAATTGAAAAAAAATGGTTGAAAAAAAATGGTTTTAGAATGCTTCTTTCCTAAAACATTAACGATTTAAAAAGTGTTTGTATTGTATTTCTAATTCGTTTTGACTGAAATTCGAAGAAAAAAAGATTTCTCGCCAGTTTTCAAATTACTGTATCTCTTTAATTATGAGTTGGATACCATTAGTATATTAACAATTTTTGTTCCAAATTAACTCAGGAATGCCCTCCCTAAGTGGGGGCAAAACTTCGTGAATCACCCTGTATTATCACGTGTAGGACTGACTAGTCAAGCGGATTTCGATTAGCGAATCAATTTATTGACNAATTTGGCCAGTAACTCTTTGAGCCCCTGAAAGACACACGTAACTCTGACGTGTTTCTGCATCCTTGCATCTCTGCCAGCTGTAGTTATCACTCTGTAGATTCTTGTGCTGCCATCTCCAGACACTTTAAGCTATTAAAGCATACCACAAGCTAATATGGGAAAATAAAGTGAAAAAATCTCAACGTGGAAATGAATATGAACTGTATAGCTACTTGTGTGTAGTCCTGTATTTACCAGCCTACCACAGGAAGCGAGATGAGATGCCATGGAGTTTCTGTTTTATGAGGTACCCTGCCCTAATCTGGTGGGGACGTGAGTTAACAGGTGGTCAAAGGTGAGTGTGTGACTTATTGCACTCAGACGTGATCAATAAAAGCAATAGGACTACTATTTCCTCCCCTCCTTATCTGGACAAAAGAATTGCCTCTAATGGATGTACCATATCAAGATATATATGCAGTTTCTTTATGGTGTGCCTACAAACAATGATTCATATTTCAAACTATTAATGAGAGTTTACGACTGCTGAGTCTCCTGCTTGTAAATGCGTTTAATAACTTTTGAAGTGGAAAAGATGAAACGTGATATCTGCCTCTATATATCTAACAATAATCATTCTAATCTAACCCCTTCAAATAAGCCGGAATCCACCCTTAGGTTACGAGAGTTTGTGGCTATGTATAATATCAATGCGATCACGTCTGAAGATAAGCGTTATGTATTGGTCGAGAGGTGGTGTCGAATGGACGCCATTATTCAGAACCATAGTAATTATTACAGATCTTCTATTTTTAATGTGGTTTCCATAATTACCAATATCTATCCANGAAGAAGAAACGTCGGTTAACACCACATATACACGGTGCCAAATTCCAGAAGACTGCTTTCTTCACGATTCTGGTTGTTGCATCTTTTCCTAGGCTATTTTAATTAATCCTTTTCAGTATCAAGAATTACGTACCATCGACTTAGCAAGTCAGTATAGTTATAAGGCTTTACACTTGTATTCTGGAAGTACTCGTTTCGAATTATTAGAATGATTACCGGAAGTTCTGACTCAGCATTTTTATGACATTTTTCAATCTGTAAAAATATCCCGCAATAAGATGTACGAGTTATACGCAGTGCCCTGATATATACATCAAGACCTCTTCCTTCCAAATTCTTCCTCATTCTTTAATTATTACCATCTTAGTATAGAAACAGTAGCTTCAGAATCTTGCAGCGGCGACAGCAACGTTAGGTACCATTTGCAGAAGCATGAATTGGAACCCAGAAAATTGTACTCACTATTTCGACAGTACATTCACCAGAATGCGTTGTAAAATCATGACCTAAAGATAGCTAACAGATATTTTGAAAATGTGGCGCAGTTAAAATATTTGAGAACGACAGTAACAAATCAAACTTGATTCATGGGGAAATTAAGAGGAGACTGTATTCGGGAAATTCTTGCTACCATTCGATACAGAATATTTTGTCTTCCCGTCTGCTGACTAAAAACATAAAAACTTAAGTACACAAAACAATAATTTTGCCTGTGGCTCTGTATAGGTGCGAAACTTGGCCGCTGACTTTAAGGGTGGAATATGGACTTAAGAGTGTTTGAGAACAGGGTGTTGAGGAGAATATTTGGACCGAAGAGGGATGAAGTGACAGGAGGTTGGAGAAAACTGCATAATGAGGAGCTTCATATCTTTTACTTTTCACTGAGTGTAACTAGAATAATCATGTCAAGGATGATGAGATGGGCAATGTATGTAACACGAATGGGGAGAAATGAATGCATGTAGGATATTGATGGGAAAGCCAGAAGGAAAGTTACTTCCATAAGAACAGCTAATTTCCTTTACATTCGCCATAGTCATATTTCGTATTATGCATAACTGCAAAATTTTCGGTTTTAAGAAGCCAGGACATCTTGGACATTTCATTTAAAATTTCCTAACAGGAAGTAATATTTATTTGCGGTCTTTTTTTTTTTATCGCTAGTGGGGTGGGACTAAGTCCCTTGCACTGCGGCCACTTCTGGCCTGTTTATTTGTGGATACTGGTGAAAGCATTTAGCAGGAAGAAGAATCTCTTTACCAGCAAATTGGACTTAAATTTGAGGAAGAAACTAGTGAAATGCTACATTTGGAGCATAGTTCTGTATGGGTCTGAAACATGGACACTTAGGGCAGTAGATCAGAAACACCTGGAAAGCTTCGAAATGTGTTGGAGAAGGATGGAGAAGATCAGTTGGATCGATTATGTGAGAAATGAAGAAGTGTTAATAAGAGTCAGTGAGCAGACGAATATCCTACACGAAATAAGAAGACGGAAGGCTAATTGGATTGGTCATGTTTTACGCAGAAACTGCCTTCTAAAAGAAGTTATTGAAGGAAAGATAGAGGGGCGGATAGAAGTGACAAGAAGACGTAAGAAGATGCTGGATGACCTTGGGGATAGAAGAGGATACTATCATTTGAAGGAGAAAGCTCTAGATCTCATCAAGTGGAGGAACTGTTTTGAAGAGACTGTGGACCTGTCGTCTGACAGATTACTGATGATGATGACTGGCGAAAACTTTGCTTTGATTTATTTGTGCTGATAGGGTACAATGACATCGTGGCTGCGCGGTTTGAGGCATGAACTGTCTTCGCCGCTCGAACATTGGGGTCGTGGGTTTGAATCCCGCTCGAGGCACTGATGTCTGTGTTTACGTTTATTCTTTGTTTGTGTTGTTCTGTGTGTAGGTAGCGGCCTTGCGACGGGCTGATCCCACGTCCGAGGAGTCCTATCGACTTTGTATAGATTTAAGAAACTAAAAAAAAAAGGCCAAGATCCAACAAAGGACCGTAGAGCCATAGACAGATAGATCGGGTACAATGACGGTATGTAGCTACTACTCTCGACTGCGCATGAGCAGAATTATTCTTTATCCAACACATATACAATTTTCTGTACTGCAACTTGTATAGGAGCTAAATGATAATCGTCTTGTCCTATATTCGTTTTTAGTTTCGCCCACATGCTGCATGCCAGGCACGTGATCACTCCATTCCCGAAGGCTTCTGAGACGCGCGTGAGGATTATGGCAATAAGTAACGGGGCAGTAGTGGGCGACGTGCTCTAAACTGTGACTCCTGACTAATCCATACATACCTTAACCATCCTTATCTCGTTAGTGCATTTGACCAAATCCACTGCTCATTATGTTGGGGACGGCCAGGTCGAAAGAGACAGGCAGTGCCAAACAGCGCTGAATACGTGTACTCATAGACAGCTGACTATAGCCTGGTCGGTGGGGATCTTGTGTTGAGCCCGCAGTGTCTGGCTAGAAATGAATGTTGATGAGCCGACATGGAAAGGGAGTTCGTATGGTTAAGAAGTGAGTAACGCTCGGTTGCAGCGTCTGTTCTTTATAAGTTCACTTCCATTTCTCAAATAAAATTTAGATATGAAAATTCTGGCATAGTTTTCTAGCCTCGACGAGATCAATGTGAAGATCGTTCAGTGATATCCCGTAATGGATCTCGTGGTTTCCTACCATGTTTCGTTATATGTGTATTTCTGTGAATATACAAGACAGTCTCGAGTGGTATCTTCGTCCAGTATCAGTGATTATAGCATCCGTCCCGTTCAACCCGTTAAGAACTCGTGATCTCTGACCTCTGGAAATAGTAACGTTGGGCAGGTTACAGTGTGTTTGTGAAGTACTGTATGGTTCCCGCATTTAGAAAAGTTCTCGAGTCTTCACTCGCAGTATTTGTATATAAATACAGTATAATTACTTTATTGTAATAGTACGTCTATACACAACAGAACGATATTGCGCGTGTTGAATGGACGATTGTTTGGCGGCCATTAGACAGCAATTTAGCAACATTTCAACGCATAATGGAAGTTCATCGCAGTAGAGCCTAGAAAGTGCGGACGTCGGTGAGTAGAAATGTTTATTTTTTCAAGAAATGAAGGGTATGACGTCAGGGACGTATTGCGGTAGAGCAAACTCGGACTCTCTGAATTATGTGATCTCCGCTTCTCCGATTGCTAAATGCGCATTTCCATAATTATATAATTATAAGAGTATATAGACTTATGTTAAAATTATATTTGTCGATTCAATGCGTTTTCTACGCAAATGGTAGTGAGTTCAAAGCTTGAACCAAGACACGGTGCTAATACAAGAGATTTACTCATATGAAATTTTAAAGAGGGTTTCTCAGTATCTGACTTAGTAAAGGGAAATGGGACGGATTTCAATTTTCCAATTTGAAAAATGTATTTAATGTACTATTCGATATAAGTTAGTATTAGATATTAGATATTAGAATAATGCGAATTACAAAATTCACATCCAAATAACCGTAACTGTTATACAAAATCTTCCTCAGTGTAAATAGTAGAGCGTATAATAGATTTGCAGCACATTTTAAGCCTCTTAATCGATCAATATATATATATATGCCAATGTTGCACAATGAAGGCATTTCCTGATAGCTGGGATGAAACTACGAATTCCATAACACCATTTATTTTCTTGAAACGCTGGATGCCAAAGGAGTGCGTGTGAAACATTATGAATCTGTTACTTCGGAAATAAGGGCCTGTGGGGGTGTAAAGCAAACATGTTTCCAATTCCATGAATAATTTCTTTAATATGTGGGTTGTATGTTGGAAGCCAAGCATGGTTTCCTTTTCCCAGAAGTCACCCCACAAACCCAACCCTAGCTATAGACTATAAAATTATCTCCATGTATAACACCCCCATAGACTGCACGCTATGAATTGTATCAAATGTGAGAGACGGCTACAGACCGAGTCTGGACTAGCTTAGAAATTCAATGGTCAGAAAAACAGACCATAACGTGCTCGTGAGTCTTATAATGTAATTAGTCTTATGCTGATATACTTACCAAAATGATTATGAATCAGTTGTGAGTGAGCTACAAATTAATTTTAATGTCTCGCTTATTTTCCGGTATTGTTTAACCTATGAATGATGACTTCTGCTGCAAGTCTGGGGAATGTTAAGAAACTAACATATCGACAGTTTGTGATTTCTCTCAGATCTGAATGAAAAGGACGTCTAATGGGAATTGAGACGGATATTAAATTTATTGTGTTTAATATACTAAAATTTCCTTTTTGATTTTATATTTCTTTACACATATCACCAATGTTTAAACCCCAAAAGTTATAATGTATGTCGTCGTTACCGATATTGAATATGTAAGTGTGAAAGAGCCATTTTCTATTTTATCATTTCGCGTATGGTTCGACAGGCCGAGAAATAAGAAACCGGTATAACACGCTAATAATATTTTAGCGGTATGATGTTGTACAGTGTTAGTACAGATCTGCCGCCTCTAGTCACATATGTTGTACTGACTTATTAACGTATTCTGGCACAGAAACTAATACGAATTTCTCTTGACTGACCAATTCTGTGGTGCAGAGTTTTCGTTTAAACGGTTATAGACCTCGCTACTTGGCCGGCCAAGAAATGTGACTGTCGCCCTTAGTTCGTATCTGGGTACAGTCGATATATGAGTTGTTTTTCTTATTGCGGTGGGGAATGGGGGAGACGAGCAATGCGTATAGGATATTGGTGGGAAAACAAGAAGTAAAGAGACCACTGAGAGGACCAAGACGTAGGTGGGTGGACTATATTACATTGGATCTCAGATAGATAGCACCACGGTGGCCCGGGTTCGATCCCCGGTCTGGTCAAGTGGGATTTGTGGTAGACAAATTGACGCTGGGGCAGGTTTCTCAGAATACTTCGTTTTCCCCTGTCAATCTTCATTCCACCAATTGCTCCACAATCACCCTCACCTATCATCTGGGGCTGGTACAATAGGCCAGTACAAGGGACTTAGTATCACCCCACTAGCAATAAAAAAATACTCAGGAGCTGGGATAGCTCAGTCCCTATAGAGGCGGGCTACAGGTTGAAGGGCCGAGATTGGATTCCTGGTAGGAAAAATATATTTGTCTGTGCTGCACAGGGTCAAGCCACTGAGGCCCACCCAGCCTCCCAGCCGATGGGTATTGAGGGCTCTTTTCCTGGGGGTAAAGCGCTTGAATCTGAACACTCACCTCCATCTAGTGCCGAGGTCAAGAATAGTGGAGCTATTGCTCCAATCCTCCAGTTCCCCATGCGTCTTCATGGCGTGGTGCTTAATTAATTAAACGCAGGGACGACTTCACCTTACTTTAGCTGTAATTATGTACTCACCTCGCCCCAAATCTGAGGACCCCACGCACCGTTCACTGCAGTACAGACGCCATAGACAGAAGGGCACAGTTAATGATTCTGATATTCTGCGTGTCAGGTATCTCTGCCACACTACAAAAGAAGACAGTTTCACCCTCTCCTTCCATACTTACTTACTTACTTACTCTTGGAGCTGAGCTCTCTTCCATATCGCTCGATTATTAACCACATATACCCCGGGTTAACAGCTTTTCTGAGGATGTTTGTGACTTTACCATGTTTCTTCAGGCAGGTTTCAGAACTACATCTTAAAGTAGGGGGCAAAACCGTCTCTTCGACATCCACTTACCTTCTTACCATTCATGTTCATCTTCAGTCTCACTCGACGTCATATATATTCTACGTCTGAAACGGCTTAGTTAGATAACCAGAGGATCAATCACATGGTTGTCACGTTGGCACTCTCTGTGTAAGCATTAAGCTAATCAATACTTCCAAGGCATATCGCCTCCAGAGAGTATCACAGTCAGAGCAACAGACGAAGTTTGTTTTCTAAAGCACTGTTCCACGAGTAGGTCTGTCTGATGCATAACAAATCTGGTTCCAGATATGCCACTCGTGTCCTTAGTGAAATGTTTCAGGACCTTTTTCACACAATTTAAGGACACTTCTGTCCTTTTCCGCTCAAGACATAATTATGCTTACAGAATCGGCGGGTCGGATTAATTGTTGCTGATCCTCGCCAGCAGAGTTATTCTTGGGTTCCGAGTCCCGCGGGGCTGATGACCATATTTTACTGTCTCACGACAACCAGAGAGACATAATCATCTCTCCACACTGGGAATTAAATCCGATTATTAACCCCATTGCCCCTTTTCCCTGTGGATACCTAGGTAACTTTGTCCGAGGGAAATTCGGTCAGAGCGTTTGAGCTGGCCATGTACATCAATCTCTTGAAGAGATGAAGAAAGTTTAAGCATTTTATCTCCACGTCCCCTGTCGTCCAAATCCTTTGTGTTTAGGAAAAATGGTAATTATTGTAACTTCACCTTTGTATTGTATGCTAAGTGTTTCTATTGCGCCATATAATTATTACTTATTGGTTGTACAGAGAAACAACATTCATGTGTGACTTTTAGTAAAAGTACAGCTATCCCTGAAAGAGACCATGGAAGCCCATAGGGTTGTGAGGCGTTGAGTGTCCCACATTATCTAAACAGTTGCTCACAGATGGGGGTAAGGTTGTAGCCTTACGCGCCAGCCGCCCTTTACCATATAGAAAAATTCATGGTACTCATTTTTGTTGAGGGCACGCGGTAGTGTAGTCGGTTGAGTCACGATACTACAAGCCGGAAGGTAGAGGGTTCAAATACCTATGAGGTCATTGGATTTTTCCAATTGACCTAATCCTTCCAGCCGCACTATGGCCCTGGGATCGACTCAGTACCAGGAATTAAATAATTTTCCTGGGGAGTAAAGCGCGGCCGGCGCGTAAGGCTGACAACCTTACCGCCATTTGAGCCGATTGTCTAGATAAAGTTGAACCCTCAACGTCTCACAACCCTATGGGCCTTCATGGCCTGTTACAGGGATAGCTTTACTTTTATTTTACTCATTTCTGTTAGAGGCTGAGTCGACTCAAGGACCATAGTGCAGCTGGAATAATTAGGTCAATTTAAGAAAATCCACCTCATCGGGACTCGGACCCGCGACTTCCGGTTAGCATAGTGCCTCAATCAACTATGCTGCCGCGTGCCCTCCATGTTTGACTTTTACGTTCCCTCTCACAATGTCTTGCTTGTGGGAGCCCGTACTACAGTAATGTGAAACTTAGAATATTTTAAGGCTTTGGGGTGTGGGGCAACCCAACTAGTCTTGGTTCTTTGAGAAGGGCCCAGATATCCACATAGCTCCTTCTTAGAATATCTTAAATGCTAATTTGATATACATGCAATCCATCATAATCAACTACGCCTTAGGTCCGTAGCCGACTAAGCGCTACTCACAGCATCTGATTTGATTTATTAGGGGTTGGCCCACTCATTGAATTGCTTAGGTAGTACACACTTCAATGTAGGCGTTTCAGAAGGTGCAGGTTGCACTTTGTGCTTTAAGAATGCTTAATTTCAGAAGCCCTTGGTTGGGAGAGTGCCAAAACTAGTAACGCAAAATCAGGGGTGTACAGTATGTCTTCGATGAGGGCAATTTTCGAACAAATGAATAAAAACATTGATTTCTATCTTATTTAATGAATTTGTTCGACTAAAAAAGTTACATAGCGGCGAATTAGGTGGAGGAAAGATCGTGTGTGGTTAACAGATAAGAGTTACAAACCTGCGGTCATGTCGTGCTTCAAGGCAGTGCCTGGCGTTCTCTCATAACCGTAAAAATTTTAATACTGTGACATATAGACCAATTTCTAGGCAACTCCCGAAATACACGCACGCAACAAGAGAGAATATATTGCAAGATGTATTTTATATGTGGTCAGTGTCATGCCTATTCCTAGGCAATGGGTAGATAAACACATTCCCGCGGAAGCAAAAGTGCAGAACAAAGAACATCTATTGCTAGGCAACGCCCGCAACACGAAGGCAACATTAGGGTAACTTCCGTTGCTAAGTAACGAGCTGTAAATACAACAATAGAAGAGGTGTTTTCTATATAGATCACATATATCCATTGCTGGGTAAAGGATGTGTTGTGATACATGTGTTGT